TGATAGCAGGGTTTTGAATGGAGTTTCTTCATACGATTGAAAAAAGAGTGCTCTAGGTCAGAGAAAACAACAAGAAGATTGTTGCTCCTCCTCGTCGGTCAGATCCAGGCCACACCTGGACATGCTGCCGCTGATGGATCTCTTGCACGGTCTGCCAGATCCACCACTAGGGAAGGATCTGGGCCTCGCTCTGGCGCCCCTGCATGCTCGATTCGCCGCCGCCAGATCCACGGTGGGGGAAGAAGAGGGAGCCTCCAGATCTGCACCGCCGCTGCTCCGCCCGCCGAAGGGAGAGGGAGGCCGCGCCACCAAAGGGAAAGGGAGGCACGCCGGTGGTCCTCCTCGCCTCCATGCCAGAGAGGGAGGCACGCCGGTGGTCCTCCTCGCCTCCATGCTGGAGAGGGAGGCGCGTGGGTGGTCCTCCTTGCCTCCACGTCGGAGAGGGTGCCACCCGAGCCACCGTCGGAGTATGGAGGGAGAGGGGCTCGGGAGGGAGACTGTGAGGGAGAGAGTGGAGGGAGGGAGAGAGTGGAGGGACGCCGTCATGCTCTCCCTCCCAAGGGGCGCGCGATCGGGCTTTGCGTCCGCGAGGGGTGCGCCACTCGGCCTCGACTGCGGGATGGGGAGACAGAAGTGAGGAGCGGAAAACCCTAACCCCTACGTTTATATATTGGTGATGGTAGTGGGCTGGTGTGGGCTAGCGGGCTAGGCCTGATTTACTGAGACGGTTGAGTTAGAATGTCTGCCTCGGTTAATGATTTACCGAGGTGGTTGCGTTAGGATGCCTATCTTGGTTAATATATATTAACCGAGGCGGGTCTTTTAGGTTGCCCGTCTCGGTTAATAATTAATCGAGGCAGTTGCTGGGTTGGCTGTCCGGCCACCCAATAACGGTGGTGGGCAACCGGCCCGCCCAACTCCGAGGCCATTTGGCAGACGCCTTGGAAAATATTCATTGTAGTAGTGCGGGGTATCATAACCCCGACACCGTTGCATGTTGCGACGGTGGCGCCGTGGGTGAGAGCGACCTGAAGACGCGGACACGAAGGTGCGAGGAAGGGAGAGAGACGACCGTACCTGGATTTGGTCGTGCTGGAGGCATCGCGCACGCCAACTCACATGTTGCGCGCTAGGGTTTGGCCACAACAGGCCACCCGTGCTGGTGCGGCTGCCATAGTCGGTAGGAGAGAGGGGTGGAGCGCGCATGGGTGGGAGAGGCGGAGCACATCAGCAAGCCAATTCGGAAGGGCGGAGCGGTGGCGTCGAGGCGAGCAGTGGCTGCGGTTGTACATGGCTGGATATTCTAAATATATCAAACATGATTTGCCTCCCAATAAGCCATTATCCTCTATTTGTTTTTGTCTTCCCATCGAAGCTCTAGAATCTTCAAGCACGTGACACTTGGGCATAGGTTTCTGTTGCCAAGTCCTGGTCCTAGTAGGTATACCTCTGTCTAAAAAATAACGTGTTTTAGTTTTGTTCAAAGTCAAACTATCCTAAATTTTATTAAATTTATAAAGAAAATTTTCATGTTTTTTCATGTTTATGATATCAATGAGTTATACAATAAAAATAGGTTTCATGATAAACATAATGATAATTATTTGGCAATACAAATATAAGTATTTCTATATAAAATTTTAGATAATTTGATTTAAGACAAAATTCAAACATTAAATTTTTTGGGACGGATATGGTAGTAGCTAGTAGCCTTGGCTCTCTAAAAAAACTAGTAGCCTTCGCTTTAAGTCAACCGGGCTGCTTGGAGATGTTTTCTTTGGGTAGCGCCGTGGCGAGAGCTCCTGAAATCGGTGAAGTACCGCCCGCAACCGTGCAGCTGCACGCAAAGCAGGTATGAGAGCTCACCAATGATCTTGGTACTTGGATCGTATTCGCCACATAATAGTACGACAAATTTTGAAACTTCTTCGTGAAAACATTTTTTATCTGCAACAAACCCAAATTTGATTGAATCTAATATTCTTGTTTGGATGTAGATAGAATGTTTTATTTGGGATCAGATACATTCATCACCTGAAGTGTGTTGCAGCGGCAAAGCTTCAGTGCTTCACAAGCAGATGCAAGCTGGGTGAAATCGTATTTGATAAAAGAAGGCGTTTGATGAGGTAGCATGAGTGGACGAAAAAAACTGAGACATTTAGTTACCTGCATGAGTCTCTCGAGACTAACTAATTTGACAGTCTGACATGTGGGGTGAGGTTGCATAAGAGAATAAAAAGGAAAGAAAATTGAGACGCTATTTGGTTACCTACATGAACTAATACAAGTCTAACTACTTTGAGAGACTGACATGTGGATCTGTATTTCTCATCCTGCATTCCCTCGGCCTAGCTTGACAGTGTAGGCCGATTTGGTTGCACGAGCGGACGTAGGACACGGCGATATTTTGCATCGATGGAGCAAGTCTCTCATAGCACATGCAACTCACCAAATATGCTTCTCCCTAGAAATCTACGGATGCGCAGATGCAAACACCCTGACATTCGGGTATACATGGCCAAACAGGTCACCCGGCCCGGCACGGCATGGGCCTAGTGAAAGAACGTTCTACAGACATCGAGCCGGACCGATTAGGGCCACGGGCCTGGCCTTTAGCCCAGGCACGGAAGCCTTAGTAGGCCGGGCTGGCTCGAGGCCCGATTAGGCGCTTGCCAAGGAAGAGAGAGGGCGGAGAAGAGAGCGGTCTAGTCACGAACAGGACCTAATGTTTGCCGGTGACGAAAGGAAGGAGAATAGTTGGCACTTGAGAGGAAGTAGCAGTCGGAGCTGGGGAAGAAAAGGAACGGCGCTCGGGCCTTAGGCCGTCGGGGGCCTTAGGCGGGAGGAGGCCGCCTCGAGCGGGGAGGAGTCCTCGTGCGGGGACGCGACTCTACACCGAGGACCGAGGATGACCGGAGGAGCTCCACCTTGAGGGAGGAGGTAGAGATGACCGGCGAGTTTGGTCGGGTGATTCGCGTCGCCCTTTGCGTCTTGTGCTCTACCTCCACGCAGAGTCGAGGATGGGAGGTGGAGCCACGGGTGGGGACGTGGCATCGACGCGGAATCACGGAAGGAGGCAACATGGATGGGAACTAGAATCTGTATGGTCGAGTGAGTCTAAAGCAACAGTTAGGGTTGAAAGTTAGTGTTGGGTTACGTAAATATTTAGCCCATTATGTTGTTAGCGGGCCTGAACCAAACTATTAGGTCAATGTCATTTAATGGGCTATGTCATGCCTAGGGCGTTCCCTAGGCATAGCCCTATGCATCGGGCCAGGCTAACCCAAACCCGCTAGTCACTGTGCTCGTGTCGGGCCAAAATATTGGGCCTCAAACCGGACAACGGGCTATGGGCTGCATGATCATCTATACATTCAAGAAGCCCAACAACCTGACCCTTGAGTTAAAAAAAACAACCTATGGACGAGCGCTAGCTTATTTGGCTGGTTTTTACAGTGTGCGAGCAGGCGGGCGCGGTTCGATCCCGGGGATCTCCGTGTTTCCTCACCGGCGTTTTCCTCCATAATAAATTTCAGGTGCTTCGTACGAATGTGCCACCACTGTTATACCTTTCTGCCATGTGCTTGTAGCCTTAGATATAGGCTGTAAGCCTAGCTTATGCACTAAGGGTGTGAGTGTGTTATGGTGCGTGTGTATTGTGTGAGTTGGTGCGTGAGTTGAGGTAATTAAAAAAAACCACCTGACCCTTGTGCGAGATGCGAGCAGGTAGGAAACAGCGTCGCCCGGGCGAACTCTGGTGGATATGCAAGCGGCGAGGGACGGCGCTCGATAGTCCAAAGTCACGATGGAATCGGTTTCTGTTCTTTTAGCCAGGAATTTGAGGTGGAATGTAGATTTCCAATTCAAGGCTCGTCCAAACAGGCCAATCCAAGAAAGCAATTCAGCCCAAATTCAAGGAATCCAAACAACCCGTTAGGATAATTCGAATTTTGAAGAACAGATATCTAGCATCCACTGGGAAAACCGATGCAACATAAGCATCACTGGATAAGTGTTACAAAAGCGCCTCAATAACCATGGTTTTTGAGTGGTGATATGCAATGGTTCCTAGTGCCTACGCTGTTAAATTACACAGAACCTTGGGTTTCTCCCAAAATCAAGACAAGATTACAAGGCCGAGAAGTATGCACAGATGGTGTGCCCTTTGCAGGCAGGTCTGATAAATCCATTTGCAATTTCATGTCTAGGATCGGGTAAGCTTACTAACACAAGAAAAAAAATATTTATCACCACATTTATACAAACAGAAACATTTCTATCCCCATTCTCAAGTGGGTTCAGGTTGAAGATTAAATGGCGCACACCTTCGTCCATAGGAAAAAGCAAGAATCCAAAATAAGGTTTAACATGTCAGCACAACGATACATACATTTTTTACATTTCTGGGGCCTTTTGCCAGTAATATAAGTACAACATGAGCTACAATTCTTCCCGCAACAACAGAGCATTATAATGTGCACCGACATTGTCAAAGGTGCATTCGCCACTGCAGAGTCTGGTATAGTTGGGTATAGTATTGTTGGCAACCACAAGCATCGACCAACACCAGCGGACCCATTTCCAACAACAGTTGTGTACAGGCTAGCTAAATCTAAAAATGGAAATGGAGATTTTTTTCTTTTGAAAACTGAAATGGAAAAATTAAATTAAAGAAAAGGTGTTCCTAAATGTTTCTTGCTTCCCCTTGTCTCTCTTCTAGAAGAAAACAGATCACCAAATGCCACCAAGCCCCAGTGTTCCTGTTGAAGCTACCCAATTATCATAAGAAAGAGTCAATTACTCCTTGAATCCACCTTATACAAAATTCCCATCTTGCATCAGCACTGCAGATGAAATATGCAATAATCTTCTGTCTCAACTGGGCAATGGTGCATTTTCCCAGCTACGGTAGAGTCAAGCCATATACTCCTGGCAGTAACTAAAGGCCTGCAGGTGTCATTTCCGAATCCCCTTGCATCGAACCACAGCAATGAATTAGTCTACCTATGGCTATATCCATGGCTTCTCTTTGCATATAACTGAGATCCATTACTAGTTCCCCTTGCTCTATCTTGTTCTCTGACTCTTCTATAGAATAGCACATAAGCTGCAGCAGTCTTCACCTCGTCTTCATCAATGGAAGCAACATGGCTATCGTCGAAGTTGTACCACCGATTTTCATCCACAAGCTGCATAAAGGGAAATTCCCATCAGCATTCTATACTACATAGAGAAGCATCAATGAGGATTCAAAAGCACAAACTGGTACTGCACAAATCAAGGACTTATCAACACACTTCACAAAGAAAACATAACTATTGCAGCTGACATTATGGGCCTGTTTGGTTGGGTACATTAGCCTGTATCCACGCTTGTGAGGCTCTTCACGCAGAATTGCACATTGCTCAAAGCAAACCTAATGCAGCAGTAGCTAGTACAACAAATTTGATTGTATTAGGCAATGTAGGTTTGCATAGGTCGATGGAGTACACAAAAACAAATATTCTTACCTCCCTACCTCTACTAGAAACATGAGACCTCTATTAGAACATGGAGGTAACTACATGCAAGACAATGTAAGCAATCAAACACAATTTCACCAAATGCAGCTTGCCTGTGCAGGACAACCAAACACGAAGACCATACAATTACACTGGCTTGGGGAGTGCTGCATAAAGTCTAATGCAAGCACCAATTACACCCTAACTGTTTGGCAAGCCTTGTACTCAAAGCAGGGTAGATTGCAGACTGAATTGCAATGAAATTGCAGGACAGAAGATACAATATAAAATTACAAAAGCCATAAGAAATACAAAAGCAGCAAAACTGAATAGAGATAACCAAAAGGCTATAGAAAGCCATAGGACTTCAGAATCACTCTTTTTTTTTTTTTTGCAGAGAAGCTGAAATAACAATAAGTTTGGTTAGAAATGTACCTTAATGTGTGCAGTATAATGTCCACTTGCCATGTTGCCGTAATGATTGCTCACAGCATACAACTCATAGATCTGGCGCTCTGAACTCTTCTTGTTGGCAATATAGTTTGTCAAATCCAAGTCATGTATTGGAAAATTAACAAAAGTTTCTAGTTTTTGTTTTGTTGACCTACTAAATGAAAATCTCTTTAGATGTATGACTAGCACTTCTGGAAGTCTCCACAAATCCAACTTTTTGCTAGCTTGCCTTTGCTCTTTGCACCTTGGACAGTACCTAAAAGAATAGCATAATAACTTTATCACTAAACACCATAGAAATGAAGGCTATAGACATAAGGAAGGAACATTATTCAAGTGCCTATCCAAATTTTGAACTGATTTTTACCAAAATCCAAGAAAGGGAACCATATGCTTCAAAACAGGCTCTGTTTGGTTGCAAATTAAGAAATGGTTGCAAATTAAGAAATGATGGTTAATGTGGGTGATCACATGCAACTGTTTTGAGCGAACAAAATAATCATGGGTGGCATTGCACACTGCACATTGTTTCAGATCAAAAATTGAAAAGCTGATATGCCACAAAAAATGGACCAGATGAACCACAAGGAACTGTCCAATAAAATTTGCAAAAAAAAAGAGAGAAAACCCCATCAACAAATATATTTTTATGGGCTTCAATTGTTACAGCTTCTAAAAGGATCCACAAATTTTGAAAATATAACAAAACAAACTCATAAGTTATGTTTATGTAGTTATAACAACTAAAGTGCCAGTGCAACCAACAGAGTAACCACTAGGGATGAAAACAGGACTGATTTCCTGATTTCCATCCGTCCCGAAAGGGTTTAAAGACCACATGGGTAATCCATATAAGAATTCGGATATTTAATATCCGTATCATATCCGAAACTGAATAGTCAAAGTTGGATTTCTAATATGTAGATGGAATAGACATTAAACTCCGCCTATGTTGTCTCAACATGGCAGGTCCCAAGCCCTGGTAAAGGAGGAGGGTTATGATAGGCGTGGTGAGCCAACGTTAAATCTAGCCATTCTAATGGAGATGAAACCCGAAAATGTTCAGCAGATAAGTGTCGTGGAAATGCGTATGTTGCGTTGGATTTGCGGTCATACAAGAAGGGATTGAGTTCGGAATGATGATATACGTGATAGATTAGGGGTAGCACCAATTGAAGAAAAGCTTGTCCAACACCGGTTGAGATGGTTTGGACATGTTCAACGGAGACCTCCAGAGGCACCGGTGCGTAGTGGAATCCTAAGACAGGATAGTAACATGAAGAGAGGCAGAGAAAGACCGAAGTTGACTTGGGTAGAGGCAATAAAAGGAGACTTGAAAGGATGGAATATACCCAAAGACTTAGCCTTAGATAGGAGTGCTTGGAAAACAGCTATTCACGTGCCTCAACCTTGATTGCTTCTGCTGGGTTTCAACTCTAGCCTACCCCAACTTGTTTGGGACTTAAAGGCTTTGTTGTTGTTGTTGTTGTTGTTGTTGTGGAATAGACATTAATATTTGATGCATCTGACACTATCCGAATCCGACTCCGAATCCCAAAAAGATACAGCTACCCATATTTGGTATCCGTAATATCCAATCCAGTTTCATCCTTACTAACCACTCAAGGTGTCTAAGCGAGCGTCAAGTACCAGTGTACCAGCCAAAATGGATAGTATGCACCAATGAAGTAATTATCATTTTTGTAAGTGTCAAATGTATCTTAGAATGCGGAATTGAAACTAACCACATGTCTTCAGGTACAAGAGGTTCTTCTCTCAAGAAAGCATCCAAGCATGCATAGAGTGAGAGAGCTTCACCACGGGTTCTCTTAGCAGGAGGAGCATACATAAACACCTCTGGGAGGTACTCTAAATGATGAGTGTCAATCTTTTTCAGATCTTCCTTGGGCCAATGGATAAAAAATACAGTTGCGAGTGAAGATTGTGGGACCCTGATACCATCATTTGATTTTTCAATGACTGTGTTGCTATCATCAATCAACTGAAGCTGAAATTGGATGCAGTCGGTATGATAACTATGAGTTCTTGTGGAAACAGAACTTTGAACAGCCAAATGCAGAGAGTCCTGATTCCTTAGCATGGGCACAAGCATTTTATGGACCAACTCATGGATATCCAAACCCGTGACAATTTCATTGCGAGATATTTGTGCAAGAAGAGGAACACCATAGGGTTTCCAAGATGTCAAGGTGTTATTGTTTCCATGGTCCCTACCAATAGCAAATGATAATATTAACAGAAGATGGTGCAAGAAGTATTTATGTTAATCATGTAAATAGCATATTGACATGACACATGTTGGGTTTACTTCAATTATAAACCAAGATGACCACTACAGCTGTAATTCTAGCAAGAAGATAACCATATATCAGCGTCTTTTTTTTCTTACAAGTCTTCATGACGATGCACAAATTGAATGTAATTCACCCTCTTTTCCAACTTTGGGAGCTTATAAACTGCCAGATGATCATCATCACTTATTGTAGACAGTTGAAGCACTGGATCATCAATAAAACGGTAGATCTTATGATTCCGTATCTGTAGATAAATTCAACCAAAATGTTTAAGGACACACAATCATCAAACCTGCCAACCTTTACATTAATTCAGGTGAGCACTAATAACGAACCTCAGCAATTAGAAGTTTCTCCCCATTTTTAAGTGAGCATGCAGTGCCAAGGGCTTGTAATAGATCTCTGCACCTACCTTGCTTCGGTACATTTACAGTGAATGGTGTTGGTGGAACACTACCATCACAAGAAAATACCACGGCAGTCACGCTCCGGGTTGAGGCAAATTGTAAGGGTAAGGAAAGATACATGAATGGGTCGAAAGTCACTGAAACCTTCCCACAGACTGGGCAAACCAAAGTGGACTTGTACTGCCCCTGGAAAAACATAATAAAAGGAAATGTCAGTAAAACATCTGCCTTAGAATAATTAGGAAGAGAACTAAATCATGAGCCAAAAATATGTCACGCATGCAACATGCATTATTATGTGTCTTGTGACAAGCATGCGCCTCCAATGTATCTAAGTATCTGAAGGGAAGATGCACAAGACTTTATACACACCGTAAGAAACACCCTACACTGGAGAGTACATATACAGATAAAATATACTCCTTCCACCCCATATTAGAAGACATTTTAGAATCTCCAACAGAAACCAACGCTGAAGCCAAAAGACCAAAATGCCCCTCAAGGAGTAGAGATAGAGAAATATTGGGAAAAGAGAAATGTGTATCGGGAAAAGAGAAAGGTGCAAAGGAAAGAGAGAAGGTCAAGTATTTTGGGACAAAATTTGAATGCTATGAGGTCATCTATTTTGGGACGGAGGGAGTAAGTCTAGCAAAGCTAATCCTTCAGCATAAAAATAACATGTATCCAGCTCCACATGTAATGACGTAGCACATCTGCACAACTAATCACAACAGGAAGGTCACAGGAAGGTCTTTACATTACATACAGTAAATACCTGAAACTGCTAGAGGTGCTTACATGCACACTCAGAACTATGATGTCATCAAAGGATCATTTTATTCCAATACCCAGCAAGAGGAACATGGTGGTCCCAAATTGCAATGGTTATTAGCATTTATGTAGAGCCAAAGCATCACAACAGTAAGTGAATTGATTCACAGGTGTAGAACTAACCTGGCATACATCAACAATGATTGAATTGTTTCTAGCAATATGATTTGCCCAATATTCATCTGCAACTTCTTCATCTGATCTTCCATCAGCATCTCCCGAGTTTATGTAAGGTCTATGCTTCACACGATTCAAATCTTCATGGAGTCCATCCAAGAGGAATGCCAACAGCTCCTGCAGTATTTTATCAAAATACAGATTCAGGAAAAAAAACTCAATAGAGTGGAATGCACCATGGATCCTTAAAATTTTCTCGCATTCTCATCTGGGTCCATGAAGGCAGAGCTCTCAAAGTGATCATCTGTCCTTTTTCAAGTGGTCCATTCGATGTGTGAATTTAGATCCATGATTGGAGATAGACTGAACTTAGAATAAACCACACGAAAAGTTGACGGACCCACATGATCACTTTGGGAGTTCATGGAACCAGATGAGAATGTGGAAAAGTTTAGGGACCCACAGTGCATAGATATAACATAAGATAGAACATCACTCTAAAGAGACAATCAAACCTGTGAATCATGCTGGTTGTATCCACTGAACTGAGATGCAAACCGAGAAAGCTTCGTTTTGAATGGTCTAGGCGAAACTGGGGCACGTCCTCCAGGAGCCCAGAGTTTTTCTCAGTAGCTCACCAAAAGCTAGTGCAAGTTCACCCTACATGACTACCATCAGAACTCAGTACAATTAACATGCAGGATGCTAGAGAAAATGAAACCAGAAAAGGGCAGTATGGCAACCAGTTTTTTTCAATTTTTTGCATGATTAAAATTAAAATACACTATAGCTGTAGAAAATGTCCATCACAAATGCTCAGAATAATCACATGCCAGTACGTGATAGTAACAACATAAATTTCTTTGTACGTCAAGGTCAACAAACATTAGATTTTTTACTTATCTTACCAAACTAAAGAAAAACTGACAAGACTTTAGAATGGCAAGATCATAAATCTGAACTAGAAACTTAATCAAGAATTGAATACATACTACACTTAAGAGAAGATATTGTACATGTGGAAAATGTTACCAAAAACAAAAGAAGCTACAGATTTTAGAAATGAAGGGTCTGGCATCTTTTAGTACTTGTTGCATGTCAAGAATAATGGAAGACAACTAAACTGAAATTTGGTTGGCAGCTATGAATAATATCATGATGAAAAAAAAAGTTATCCAAATGAATATAATGGAATAAGATCATATTTTCTCTACCAAAATGATTTTATCTTGAAGCATCAAGGCCTCCAGGACATGTGAGTCAAAAGAGTACTTACCACATTACCCAGCGGATTTTGCCGATTTATTTCACGATGATAATCTTCACAAAAATATCTAGTAAACTGTGGCGTGTGCACTAGACACTGTATGGCACTGTTCATATAGCATGTATTTCCAAGATTAAGTAGCCCTGTAAGACCTAAGGGTGATCCCCTCGTGCTCATGCCACTAGAACCAGGCACATTATCCAGATCACCATTGGTTGATCGCAGGTAGAGGCTTGGTGTCAGACTAGAGTTATAGCTTCTAGAAGTATAGCTGTTGGCTGCAAAATTCTCATTTGGCAATCCTGATTTCGGAGCATCAGTAATCAGAGAAGTCGATTCTCTCTCAAAACAATTGTTTCTTTTAACCAAACCATCCAGACTACCATTGGCATCAGTGGTAACCTCAACTAGAATCTGTGAAAACAATATAAAAGTATACAGTCAGATCATTTACTTGACAACAGCCATTAACTAGTAGTGCATCTGTTCTACAAATATAGTTTGATATTGGGGTGGGGGTGGCAGTGGGGGAATGCTTCTCAATTATTATAGAAGGTTTGACTCACGTCTTGATCCATCTGAATGTTGGAATCATCAAGGGTTTTGTCCAGGCTATCCATCAATGAATGCTTTGTTCGACCATAATAGTCCCAAATGCATACCTGCCAATGATGGCCGCAATAACTATGAAAAAATCCTTGCAAGTAAAAAAAAACGTAAACATCAAAATAAAATAAACAGCTACCTCATCTGGTACCAAGTTAAAAACCTTACAAGCACTTTTATGGAGTTGGCCAACTGTATCCTGAAAAAGGTTCATGATGATTTTTAACTTTTCAGTTATTCCAACTTTATTGAAGCTATTAGAGACATTAAAAGACTTCAACAGTAGGTTATACCTACAAAGTGGCATCATAGGTTTACATAATTCTGTCTAATCTAATCAATTTATTGAAATACAAACTAAAAGAAAGGACAATGTGCTCAATAATAGCTAAAGAGATGAGAGCATACCTTCTTGCTTATCCTTATAAAGGTTCGCTCTCCTCTTGACATTAGAATTAACTGCAGTCGTAGAGGATAAACTTCTATGGCCAAATCAGTTTGAGAAAAGCCAGTATTGATTGCCTTTCTTGGTAATGTTGGTCCTCCACCATACCTGTTAACGCATTTTGTGTAATGAGAATAAGATTCCAAACACCAAATCAAAAGTTGTGTGGTTGTTTCTTGTTGATGGAAAGATGTCACAGCTTCTCACATAGGGAACACAAATAAGTGAACCATGTTTGTGAAAAGTCTCTCAGCTTCTTAACTTGAATTCATAACACAGTAGCATCAACTTTCTTCCATGTATTAATTTCGGGGTTTTACTTTAAAGTCAATGCAAAGCATCTGGGGATTAAACAACACCACAGTTTGTGCCTTAGTTCAATTTAAGACCAAAGGCTACTAATTTTTTGTGCTACTTTCTTCATATATAATCATTTGAAGAAGTGATGTATTTGGCAAATACCAACGCAAACTGTAAAGAATATTTAATAAAATTGGCTATGATTGATGTTTTATTCAGTATGTTCAGGAAAGTGAATATATCAGTGTACAGTAATAGAGTATGTGAACTAGAACCACCTAGAAAGACAGTTATCCATATTCCATAGAAACGGCAAGGAATCATAAGAAGGTAGACAGGTCAGCATAAATAGAATGATTAAGCTATGTAGAAACTATCAAAGACAAGAAGCCACTGCACAATTAGGTGCATAGAGGCATTTGAAAAGTGATAGATCCAGAGAGGATTATTCTTTTGATGATCATATTGCACAGTATAGAGTTCAAATAAATGTGACTTACCAACCATGCAACTTTTCCCAAACTTGCTGAGGAAGCAGTATGTAATCCCGACCCTCAACCAAGTTATCATGTATCTCAATCTCCGTATTGGAGACTTCAAATGACGCATCATCAATTAAATCGGTATTGTCAATAGCTCCTGGCCTTCTAGAAGTTTTTGAACCAAACTCATGATGATGATAACCATTACTTGTTGCACCAGTCAAATCTTGAATGAGGTAATCAATCCAACTTTGCCACCACCTATTGAGCCAAAAAAAAGAAGATTGCATTTATAATCCGAACTGAGAGTAAACAAATGAAGCAACTGACAGAGAAGAATAAAATAACATAGTACGAATATGTATTTCTGAAGAAACCTTCTAAAACAGACATTTCCAATTTTCCATGATGCTCATCAGCACCATATGCGGACCTGTAAAACATGCAATTCAATAGAAAAAGAGAAAAAACACTCCAGGTCCAAATTAAAAATACCAGAAGCTTTAATACATCTTATATCTCGTATTAGGCATATCCTACTAGGTGTGATACCTTATCTTACAACGTCATCCAAATATTATGATCATAACACGACAAAAATGGTGATACTTTCAAGTTCAATCCACAGCCTACATACTGCCACGATCCATGAGTATGCATGATCATACCAAAAAACTTAATTTAGTACAGATCTTGTGAAATTACTCCCTTCTGTCATCCTGCTCATCAAAGGATAACGTTAAGGACAACCAAATTGAACTGCATGTGGGCTAATTAGGCAGTCTTAAACGTCCTCTTTAAATGACCAGAGGGAAACAGGGAGTACTTTTAGGGCCCCTTTGGCAGTGCTTCTCCCGCTCTGCTCCACGCGAGAATCCGGGGAGCGCTGCCAAAGGCCTCCGTGCCGCACCGCTTCCTCAAGGAAGTGCTCCTCCAGCTCCCTCCCTTTTGCACTGCAGGTGGGAAGCGGAAAAAACCCTCCGCGCGACCGTGCCACCCTCCACTCGCGTTACCGCGTCGTCATCTTCGCCCGCGCTGCCGACACACCGTCCGCGACCTTCTCCAGTGGTGCCGGCCCTCTCCTCTGCGCTGCCCTTCTCCATGCCACACCCTCTCTGCCAGGGGCGGAGGGTAGTGGAGGCCAAACTGGGCCTCCCCCATTGCTTGACAGACATTCAATGACCCATAAATCCCTAGAAGTCTAAACTACATGTCAATTTAACATCTCACCATGATTTGACGCTTAAGTAAGCAATTTAGCCCCCTCTAATTCATTCATGGGCCATGCTTCGCCACTGCTCTCCGCCGTTGATGAAGGAGGCGAGGTCGCCGCAGGGCCTGTTGGGGTCCCTCTATGCCCGCACCCCCACCCCCCTGCACCCTCCTTTGCGCCTTGCCTCTCCGCCCTGCGCCCGCCTTGCAGGAGCTGAAGCCGGAGATGACGACAAAGCGCTGCCAATCGGTATCTTTTTCAGGTGGGGAGCGAGCAGAGCTGGAGCAGAGGGAAGCGTTGAGTGGAGCGGCGGGGAGCGGAGGAAGAGCGCTACCAAAGGGGCCCTTAAATGTCCTAAAATGCTCAAAGCATCTCAGAGACCGAATATAGGAGCAGTAGAATGCTCAATCCTCAAAGGTCCTAAATCACAACTGGTCCAAAATGCCTGACATAAGCCTCTAGAACTTTCACAGCTGAAAAAAAATCTCCGAATATAGGAGCAGTAGAATGCTCAATCCTCAAAGGTCCTAAATCACAACTGGTCCAAAATGCCTGACATAAGTCTCTAGAACTTTCACAGCTGAAAAAAAATCTCGTGCGCCGCGCACCATGGCTACCCAATCCTGTTTGCAAAGCAGAGGAGCACACGCCATCAGCGTCAAGAGGAGCGCACTCAACCGCACTCAACTGGTAAGACTACAACGCTTCAGAGGAGGAAAGGCTCGCAAATCCTTAAGCAGAGAGGAACACATAAACCGCCGCGCATTAAACCCACCTCCGATGCCAACGCCGAGGCGCCACCTCGCCGGCGGCGCCGAAGCATATTCCTCCACCAACGAACAACACCAGCAAGAAGGGAAAAAAACGATCTTGCGCCCCGCAGGATCATTCCAAGCGTGGCAGCGCGAACGGGGATTGAATCAGGGAGTAGATCGACAGGGATGGGGAAGCAGGGAGACGGCGAACGGAGAGGCATAGTGGACCTGGTGGTGATGAGGAAGAAGGTGTCGCCCTCCTTGGCGTGGGCATCAGCCGCGACGGTTATGTCCCGGATGAGAGCCCTCTCCACCTCGGCGGGGAGCGCCGGCGCCGCCACCACCATCTCCATCCCCGCCGGCGGCGGCGAGGAGGAGGAGCCCGCAATCTACGGCTAGGGTTTGGACCTCCCCTCGTCTCGCCTTCCCGCAGGGCTCTCCGTCTCTCAGCTGGAGCGGCTTGAGCAGGAATTGGTGGAGCGGATGGAGCCGGCAGTGGAAACGGTAGTGGCGGGGATGAGGTGAACCTGTGATCGGAGGGGGGCGCGGATCTGCGAGGTTTCCTGTTCTTCCTGGCCGGAGTGAGGAGAGGAGGCTGTCTGGCTGTGTGCAGACTCCGGCGCTTGTTTTTTTTCTTTCCTTCTCTACCCCTGATTAACACAGGGATTCAGCTATTTCGGAATGTCCCCCATCGCCGGCCAGACTCTCCCGAGCCGGAGTTATAGAAGAAGAGAGGTCGTTGCGCTAGAACGCGATGGTTCGCGGGATAGATTTTGCGTTACAGGCAATAGTGTTTTCCAAAAAAAAAAAACCAACATGAGCCAATCCAAACCAAAGATCAAAGACCAATCGTGAGCAGCGCCCAGATAAGAGGAGGCACAAAATGCTATATCACTGTTACCAAGCAAAATTTTATTTTCGATGACCAAAATTTTCTGTTTTGTCCATTTTCCCTTTTCTCTGATTCCAATAAGCTTTTAAAGTTAGAATTTGGAAAGAAACATACCCTTTGTCAGGAGGATCTCCAAAGAGAACCATGACGGTGGGGTAATGGGTGGCGGTGGTGATCCAGAGGACGAGGTGGTAGATAGATTTCTATTTCATACCTTCTTATAGTTGGGTTAAAAATGCCCAACTTTTATTATCAGATATGAAGGCACATTCTCATATTTTCACAAGAAGCCATAATGTCTAGGATACGAGTCAAGCACCCATCTCTAGCAACATGCGCTCTTAGTTCTATGCTGTAGGATCTCAGGTACGCCTAGAGAGAGAGTGAATAGGTCTGTAAAAATTCAACTTAAACCGAAGTCTAATTCACCCACGGCACTGTCGCTCTGTGAGCGCGGCACTGCCGCACCTGCAAGAAAGATTAGTTCACAATTCGAAATCTACCCAACGAAATTTAGATCGAATAAATTTCTTAGCTTCCTGCAGTGTAGTAGATCACAGATCAATAGCTAAAAGTGGTGAGAACACCACACACAAATAGATCGGCCTCAAACCATATAAATCACCTCAACAACAACAAGAATATAAGTGTAGCAATACAAGCACAAGATGACATAAGGATTTATCCCGTGGTTCAACTCGTCACCAAGGCTTGCCTAAGTCCACGTCGTTGAGGTATACCACTAAAGCTTAGGGCTTTGTAACCCTACCTTATTTTCAAGTCAAGAGAGTGAACTCTTGAGATGATGGGTGATTTTACTTGCTGCAAGAGATGGTTACAAACCTCCCGAGGCTGCCACAAACTTGACATGCTCACTGGACGACGCTCTAACGGGCTAGAAGCCAAGCTCCAAGAGTAACAAATACAACCGCCGGTCAAAACATGAACCAAATATTCTTTAGGCTTTAGAAATCAGTGGAGCTGCTCTCTAATCACTTTTGGCACCTTTTTCTCTCAAGGATTGATGGAGAAGTCAAAGAGAAAGCTTGAGAGCTTGAATGACACTAATGGAGGAGAGAGGAGATGAGCACCTGTTGATTTTTGTCGGTCTGAACCGTTGGGGAAAAAGAGAGAGACGTTATGAAGGATAGGGAAAAGTATAAATACCCTCTTGCCTCCCAACGGTTATTTAAGTGCGGCAGTGCCGCCCTAAGTGCGGCAGTGCCGCAATACGGCAGTGCCTCTCTCCAGGTCGCACCTAGCAAGACAGCAAAGTGGAAGGAGTTGTTAAGTTGGCTGTCTTAGCTGAGGTGTGAGGATGTTTTGTGTAAAGATTGAGCATTTGGTTGCACACTTTGAACCAGTTGTAGTGTCTCCCTTTATAGTACGGTTTTTCCCATACTCAATTTTAAAAGACAAAAGAATTCGAAACTCCTTTGAGCGTGATGCCGTCCTTATTTGTAATCGGGGGCTCCTTCTTTCCGCGTGACATCCTCTATAATGAATTCCCTGCTTGTAATCTTAATAAATCTCATTAGTTTTCTAATTAGGTGGTTATTGTGGCAGAACCACCCGAAATAGCGTACTTACGAAGGCGCTTGTCTTCCATCAGACACTAAGCACCTCGAAAGTAACTACAGCGAGCGGTGTCCGTCGAGCACACCCCAAGGGAGAACCCGAAAGATCCACATTTTTCCCAAGGATCCAATAATGAAAACGAGTTACAACACAAGTCTATCTCATACATTAGAGTTTCTTGAAAAGTACATTATTACAATACCAAATATAGAGTGCGGAATGATAAACAGCGGAATATTAAAAGATAACATATAGCGATAAGATAACGAGGATTCCGTCTGAGCCCACCAGATGGATCCTCCACACAAGGAACTCCTCAAGCGTCACCTGCAACAGGGGTAAATAAACCATGAGTACACAATGTACTCGCAAGACTTATCCGACAGTGGGAATATTTTCCCGACTCCAAGAAATATGCTAGGCTTTATGGTTTGCTGGTTCTCTTTTAGCAAAAAGCAATACTAATAGTGAGTCCTTATTGATACATTATTATCATTAGACGTATTAAGTTTTCATCTAGTCAATCTATATAAGCCTGTTCTACTTTCAAGCAAGAGTTGAGCAATCAGTTCCATTTCTTCTCCTTTCAACTTTCAGTTCTTACTACGGTGCTAAACCGTAGACAAGCCGTACCGGATAACCCGGCGATTCACGAATCAATGTGCCCAGCTGGGTGCCCCGAAGACACACGCCCCGCTTGTACTCCAGGCACAAGCAGGACTAACCCACCACTCTCCTGTCCCGGGTGTCCAGGTCCCCGTCCAAACTTGGACTCCAAGCCCCCACATCCTGAGTCCCGGACTCAGTGCGGTGCAAGGACCTCCACCACCTTCTCTTCCCATCAGTCGGTCCGGAAAGAGCCAGATCCGCGACAAGAGAGCAGCAAGCCTTCCCTGCGCCCATACCCAAGTATGTGCTCGGGACAATAATCTGTGACTTGCCTAGAGTCATATGCAACGACCGGTCCTTAATCGACACAGGCAGGGAAAAAGTGTAACCGGGCTATGCCCTGTTGGCCGCAGGACACAACCCCTCACATCCACCAGTACCAAATCCACATCCCTGTCCGGTCACCATTTTCCTTTCCATTATTTCATCATGATATCACAGTTTAAACACCTATTTGCGAGTAACGACAGGTTACTCACGCTACCGACATCCTGAGCATAGCAGCTACTCGACCTATACTAGTAGGACTCATGGTGGATATATTTATGCATGTAGCTTCCATAAAATGCCTGTAACGTAAATGCATATCATATAAATATATTCAGATCATTTAAAAATAGGGGTTATGCAGGGGCTTGCCTTTGGGCGGTAGCGGTGTGTCGAAAGTCGATGATGTGGCTTTGAACGTCCTTACGCACGAGGATCTCCTCGTACTCTTCGATGACTTCGTCGTACTCTCCTTTCGCCGAATGTCACGATCTCCGATGCTTTCGTCCTCTATATGCATGCAAAGTGATGATGATGCAATAATTAATATATAGGCAACCGCAACTCTTAAAATAAGAATACATCTACCAAGCTACTAAGCTAACTCTAATGACTAATACATAAAGTTACCTATTATTCCCACTAAACAAGTATGAAACATTTCATGTATTATCTTAGCAACTAAAGGCATCCTTATTGTTAATATCAATTTACTATATATATAATAAAACAAGGTGCACTAGCTACCATGCATCATAAAAATTCATTCTCAAAATAACCATAATAAGCATTGCAAAATAATAAAGTAACCCTAAAGGTATCAACTTTGAACTATCTGAACTAATTACACTAACAGATAGATCATGAATTTAGGAATCTAACAAAATTTATTTCACAATCAATAAATAAATTCAAATGAGTTCTAGAGATGAAGAAAACGATATTATTGGAGGAGGCCAATTAGCTTGATTAACCAATCGATCTATTCGCACCTTTGCGTGTTCTTGGAAAAGGTAGAACACAAGCGGTGAATCGGATGTGAGATCTTTGGTTACTTGATTTGAGAAAAGTGAATGATCGATTGGAGCAAAAACAGCTCGATGGCTCGGCATGTCCTTATAAAGGCAAAAGACGCGGGAGGGAGAAGGCGGCTCGTTGCCTTGACGCGGTCACGGTCGATCATGCTCATACCGCCACCGTCTTGACAATGGATGCGTGTGGAAATGTGAGCAGTGTTTCGTCACCTAACAAGTCAAAGCAGAGCCGGTGCCTTGAAGCTTCGACAAAGCGTGTGACACGGTTCGACTATAGTGTACGAGTATAGTGTAAGTCTTTGGATCAAGACTAGGGAATGGGCCCGAGAGTGAAGTGAGTAGATGAGCCATGTCTCCAAGCCAGATGTGAGCCTTTCTTTGCAATGCCGTCTTTGTCTGAGTTCCTTCAAGTCGGTGATTATCTTTCTCCTGCAGTGGAAAAGAGAGTCTAGTGTCCTAGTCCTTGTCTCCTTGACTAACCAGAAGACTTGACTTGCTTTATGACTAGTAGAACTATCCCGATCTTTTCGAACATGAATGGCTTTACTCGATCCAATGATTTCAACCATTCACGGTGTATGATGTGGATCCGATCACAATATCGAGGCTCATATGTCATCTATGATCATTTAACTAGGAAAGCTGGTGCATGTGCTTACACTCCTGCACCAAAACAATGATTCTTAGTGATTCTTCGTGTTACAAATGATTTGATCAAAAAAAACAAGCAGGAACCGTGTTGTCTACTGGTGAACAAAGTGTTCGCGAGTGAAGCGAGTGTTCCTATCTTTGCTTCTAAAGGTTTGCGTGTAGAAAGGATCAAAACATCAGAACCGTGTTTTCATCTGTGAGCAGTGTTCCTATCTTTGCTCTGATGTCGGCGTGTGGAAAAAGTGCACATCCTTCATTTGCA